CAGGAAAAAGCCCCTTCTCTCCATCGCCTCCCCTCAGCCTGGGCTCCTCTCAGGCTTATTTCTTATCAAGCTCCCGGCTCACTCTGCCGTTCTCTTACATGCTTATGCTCTGAGAGGAGACACTATGTGACTGTAAAATCTGTTCTTTTTTTATTATTGCAGTCAGGAAAAGAGAAAAGCCTTTCAAAGATCTATAGGAGGGGAAAAAAAGGTAGGGTGGAACTTCTGCAGAAATTAATGTTACAATAACAAACACAAATTGTAAACTTTAGAGAAAGAAATGCAAGTTCTAGCATTGTGTCAGTCTTTGTTGAATACATTCGTTTGAAATACAGGAACGTTGTTGGAGACTGTGAGTTTTAAGGTTTTACAGTGGAAATTCTGTCCTTAAAGTGGGCTTGGGACAAGGATTACAGGCAGACTGAACCAATTCTAGGAAATGTGACCTCATTCATATTTGTAAATACTGTTTTTCTACAAAGTGCGTAATTCTAGTGTCATAGGCGTTGATGACTTGCAGCTCTGTTACCCTTGTCCGGGGAGGTTGTAACTGCAGGGCCTGTGACATTCTCATTGTCATTAGCTTGGTGTAGGCACCTGCAGAGGAAGTAGACACTGGTGGGTGGAGGAGCCAAGCATCCCCCAGCGTGCTCACCTTCATTTCACCTGACCCTGAACGTGGCTCTCCCAGACCTGAGCCATGTTCCATCCTGTGGTGCCTACCACTTCAGAACCAGCCAGACCCTTCCCGTTCCCGGCTACACAAGTCTGTCTGAGACGATACCACCTTGAACTTTGAATCCTTCTGGTACTGTTCTTGAGGGCTTATTGATGATTCCCTGTAGTGATTCTTTTTTTTATTTATTTTACTTATTTATTAATTTTTTTTTTTGAGGAAGATTAGCCCTGAGCTAACATCTGCTTCCCATCCTCCTCTTTTTGCTGAGGAAGACTGGCCCTGAGCTAACGTCCGTGCCCATCTTCCTCTACTTTATATGTGGGCCGCCTACCACAGCATGGCTTGCCAAGCGGCACCATGTCCGCACCCGGGATCCAAACCAGCAAAGCGCAGGCCGCTGAAGCAGAACGTGTGCACCTAACCACTGTGCCACTGGGCCGGCCCCCGGTAGTGATTCTTTTTTCTCACCATTCCTTCTGTCATATCCCAGTTAGGACATATCTCAGTTGATTAGACTGTAAGTTCCTAATCATTTTCTTTTCCACTGGCTTGTCCTTTATGATCTTGAACCACATGGGAGGTTGAAGACCTGTCTTAGATTATGGCATATATTGTTTCTCTACCTTTTTTGTGTGGTAGTTATTTAGCTCTTTGGCACGTTCATGATCATCTCAAAGTCAGGAACTGGGCCATACATCCTTCAGTGTTTGCTGTATCATGTTGATTCGAGATCTGAATTGGCAATATCTAAGATTTAAGATTTAATGGCTTCTTATCCCAGGTCTTTTATGAGTCCAAAGTGTTGCTCTGAGCTCATAACCAGTCACGTCCGAGACACCCTGGCCTAGAAAATGAGACATCTGTCTCCAGCCTGTTGTAACCAAGGCAGCTAATGTTGAAAAACATAATCTCAGCTTTGTGTAGCCTTGATGTAGTGGAGTCGAGAGGCAAATATTTAAGTTCATTATAAATCCTTCGCTTTGACATTTTAGTAGGTCCTTTTGGTTTGCTGATAGACTGGGTCTGGAAAGGGGCTGGCGGAATTAGAATCTTCAAGTGCGTCTCATGCCCATGTACTGATTTCTTCTTTGTAATCAAACCCTTTCATAGACTTAAAACTCAGGAAGGAAAAATAATGGTTGTAACTTTAAATAAGAGTTCAGTTAAAAGCATTTTTGTGTCTGTTACCATAGTTACCAACTGGCTTTCCTGTGTTTCCAGAGAAAATGGGCTCCATCATTCAGAGTAATTCGGAGAAGTGCTTTTGGGGAAGGGGCAGAGAAGAGGGTGCTACAGGAGGTTCCCAGAGAAGTAGGACATGTTCCTGGAAGAGCCTGTCTACACTGAGTGTTACAGGGTCCTCCACTAAGCAGTGCCTGTATTGGGTTGTGAGTGGAAGTTTTCTTTTAGCTATGATAGACTGTTAGCCACTTAACTGGCTATCAGAATTCTACTCAAACTTTAGAAGTCCACTGCTCCAGTTTACGTGGGGTGCTGCTATATTTGAACAGGGTTTTAAAACTTTATTTAAATAATGCAAACATTAGACATTTCCTGTATTTGCAGACACCAACTATATCGCAAAGGAATAAAATCAGGCAAATAAAGACAAGACCAAATTTTAAAATCCAAGGAAGCTGGAAGTGGCCGTTTCTTGTACTAGAAGGAGAATGTGTCTATCCTTGTAATTGTGCCTTTGGCCTTAGTAGAATTTGAACATTATATAGAGTTTTGATAATATTTCATGGCTTTAGGGTCAGATGGGATTTAATTTTATCTCATATTTTGCTAAAAGATTATTTTCTCTGGAGACTGGCAGGCAGTTGGCTCATACCCGCTGTCTCTGGAAGAATCCTGTCAGAACTGACTAATTTGGAAGTATTGGATTGAAAGAGTTGAAGGAGTTGAGTCACAGAGGGTTGCCGATTGAGAGGTAGGGACAGGAGTGCCGGTGAGCTCAGATGATGGAAAGGGCATGGAAAGTTACAGAGTGATGGGTGAGGTGAAGTCTAGAACCTTCCCAGATAGTTGGGTTCACTTCTCTGTCCCAAATCAAGAGGAGGAAAGGGGAGATGGACATTTCAGAATTTGTGAGCAGGAGTCTTTGACATTTAAAGGCATTATAGGGGCTGGCCCCGTGGCCAAGTGGTTGAGTTCGCACGCTCTGCTTCGGTGGCCCAGGATTTTCACCAGTTCAGATCCTGGGCGCGGACATGGTGCCACTCATCAGGCCATGCTGAGGCGGTTTCCCACACAGCACAACTAGAAGGACCTGCAGCTAGAATATACAACTACGTACTGGGGGGCTTTGGGGAGAAGAAGAAGAAAAAATAAAATAAAGTCATTGTAGTGTATCTTGGGCAGCTTCTTCTACTCTCCCCACTCATAAATTATCTGTTCTTTGTCCTTCCACAGAAATGCTCTAGGATGAAGCCATCTTTTCTTCCTTCTCTATAGTAGTGCTTCTGTCCACATAGCCCTGAAGTCACCTGCCCAGTCCCGTATCCTCTTCAGCGCGTCTCTTCTCTGTATTGACCACAAATGTCTCCGAGACCCCTGGACCCTGCTCCGTGGCATTTGTTGTGAAGGTCTAAGGAAAGCCCTGGCCTTCTAACCAAAGCAGTTCGTTTCTTACAGGAAGTTCCTGCTGCTGAAGTGAGAAACTCACTAAGCAACACACAGAATTTGAGAAACGATTGCAGTTTAGTAAGAACATTTAACCTTGTCTTCGGATAGTCACTCTGACGCAGAATAGCTGCTGTTCCCCCAAAGGGGCGTAAGCTGCTCAGCAGCCGTCTGAAGCCGTGGACACTTAGGGGAGCGTTTTCCATGTAGAAGGGCCTCTCCATTGGCACTTTTCCCTCTGCTGCCTAGAACATTCTCTGCGCTTGCTGGCCGCACCATCCCCACCATCCAACTCTTTCACTTCTGGTTACATCCGGTAGGCGCAGCTGCGGCTCATCTGAAAGATCAGTGATCGAGGGGGAGAGAAGGTCTGGTGGGTCAGCTCGCCGGCGAGGCAGCTCAGACCCCGCAGGAGAGACGCCGCTGGCTCCTCGGAAGGTGCATCCAGGCCGCCTGATGCTGGGCACGTCTTCAGTCTTTTTCTGTTTTTGTCCACACAGTCTCATGTCATATGCAAGTATTTTTCTTCCACCCTAAAAACAAAACAAAACAGAAAACACTCCCCTATCGTCATAGGTTAGAGGCTAATTTTAAGGAGTTGTGTAGCGCGAGGATCTTTAGAAGCAAGTCCTCCCAAGAGAACATGATGACCCCTGTGGAATTTAAAAACTAGCATCCCTTTTGAAAAGCAGTGGTCCAGCCCCCTCTTCGTAAATTGCTGTGCTTTCCGAGCCCTTGTAGAGTCTGCGTGATGTTCTCAGTAGCAAGTGGAACAGTCCCTTAGAGACGAATGCTGGAGAAAGTCACGAGCAGACTTGCCGTTTCCCAGACCGTGGTCTGCCCGGCTTTGTCGTGTGTGTGGTAACGGATTTGACTCCATGTCTCCCTTAGTCTTTACTTTCAGTATTTTTCCCTGTTATTTTGAATTACTTGTGAATCACCATGAGTCCATTTTTAGAATACGGCAGGGTATAAATCTCTTACCAGATATGCCTGAGAAGTTTTATTTTCTGATAATTAAAGAATCTCAACAGCTGGTAGTAGCTTCACACTCAAACAGTAACATTTTTGGTGGTTTTCATTTGTTATTTGGATCCTCCCTGTGCCTCTTAGGGCATTTAAAGTTGCTACCAAAAAGTTCTGTGGCTGTGCGGATGAGGATCACGATTTCAGTCCAGCTGATTAATCGGTGTCTGTATCCAAAAGAAGTGGTATCCTAATTGATTCCCTTTGTGGGGTGTTGAGCACTAAGTGGTCCCTGGGGGCCCATCTGCCTTTTCTCTCTGTTTTGAAGCCCAGCCTTATAGTCAGAACTGCTGCTGCAGCTTGTTTTTTACTCATTCAGAACCTAAATAGAATATTCTAATGCTATCTGCTATCTGCCTACTGGCTTTAATGATTATTTGGATTGATCATAAAAGGCTGTTGTAAAGCTGTGTTTTAAAAGTAAGTGATCATCAAGCTCAGGTCGAGTGGTGTCCTTATAGAACAGATGCAGCCAACTGTGGTTTCTCTGAGTCAGCTCAAATCCAGATGCAGCATCTTCCAGGCCTAGAGAAGATGGCAGTGCAGTCCATGCAAAGGTTTGTTTGTGGAAACCGTGCTCAATGACCTGTCCTCCTGTGTTTTGCGAAGATAGATTGTTTGATCATGTTATGCCATGCCACAAAATGATGTATGTTTGCTTCCAACAAAGGTGGACGTGGGTGTGGTGCGCTTCACTCCCCTGACACAGCCCAGGATAGAGCAGCCGTTCCAGCTGGTGGAGAAGGTCGTTCAGAACGTATTTCAGTTCCGAAGGAAGTACTGCCATCGAGGGCTTGGGTGAGAAGGCCTTCTCTGCCTTTTAGTAGCACGCTTTATAAATCCCCAATCACTTTCAATAATTAAGAACTTTGTTTTGATGATTCTTCAACCTTTCTATAAATAATCACTCATAGTTCAAATCCTGTGGTGAATCAACCTTGACTGCCACTGAAGAAAAAGCGAAACCTTGATTTAACCTCAGATGCCACTTGGGGTTTTTGTTTTTGTTTTTGTTTTTGTTTCTTTCTAAAGATTGGCACCTGAGCTAATAACTGTTGCCAATCTTTTTTTTTTTTTTGCCTTATCTCCCCAAATCCCCCCAGTATATAGTTGTATATCTTGGTTGCACGTCCCTCTAGTTGTGGCATGTGAGACACCGCCTCAGCATGGCTTGATGAGTGGTGGCATGTCCGCGCCCAGAATTCGAACTGGCGAAACCCTGGGCCTCCGCCGCGGAGCTTGCGGACTTAACCATTTGGCCATGGGCCCGGCCCCCAGGGGTTTTCTTTTATCATAAGTACAACCTAAAACTGACAGTCACACAGTTTATGATGACCCTGTACTGCGGAGGTCGTGACTTCTCAGTCAGGGCTCAGACCATCTGAACTGTTTTTACTCTCGACGCTTCTGACACCAAATGTCTAGTATTTTTTCCAACACCAGCCACTTCCCCAGACACCAACTGGGTGTCCTGCAGTTCGGCTCAAGTCTGCACTAACTGCCTGGAGTCACTGCAGCCCTGCAGGTGCAGGGCTCGGTCCCACGAGGCTGCCCACACTTCAGACACCAGTTCCAAGTCCCAGGTCGCCGCTTGTACTTCTGACCAGCCAGCTGTAAACTGGGGAGCTCCATGACCCCCATTCAGGTTCATTAATTTGCTAAGATGCCTCAGAGAACTTTACTTTCATTTACCGATTTATTATAAAGGATGTAACTCAGGAACAGCCAAATGGAAGAGACGCATCGGGCAAGGTCTGGGGGGTAGGGGCGCTCAGAGCTTCCATGCGCCCTCTGGGTTCAGCATCCTCTCAGCAGCTCGGTGTGTTCACTGACCTGGAAGCGCCCCGAACCCCATCCAGGGGTTTTATGGAAGTTCCATTACATGGGCTCAGTTGATTGGCTGTTGGCTGTTGGGGATTGAGCTCATGATCTCCAGCCCTTCTCACCTCCCTGGGGGTCTAGGAGTAGAGCTCGAAGTTCCAACTCTGATCACATGGTTGCTTTCTCTGGCAACTGTCACCCATCCTGAAGCCACCTAGGGGCCCACCAAGAGTCACCACATTAGCACAAACTCAGGTGTGGTTGAAAGGGGCTTGTTAGCAATAGCAAAAGATCCTCCTGTCACTCTCACTCAGGAAATTTGAAGCTGTGTCAGGAACCTGGGACAAAGACCACCTACAGATTTCTTATCATCACACTAAGCAGCTTTTTAAAATGCTTCTTTCCATCAAGTTGCTGTATCTCTTCTTTAAGGACACACTTAGATTAGGAAGCAAATATAACTTCTGAGCAGCCAAAATGATGTCACCACATATTCGGGCAAGCACATTTTTATTCACCAGAGAGCTCCTTTGTCTTGCCATGCCTGCTGCTCTGCATAAGCACATCGGCCCCTCAGGAAACTCAGACAGAGCATGACAGGGTGGAGTCCACATGCCTCAGTAGGCCCCGAGGTGACCACAGCGATATGTTACATCCAGTGACAGCCAAGAAAATGTTTAATTAGGCCCAACTGTAGTCTAAGAAGGCAGGAAAATGTGTGTGTGTGTGGTTTTATTTAAAAGATTTCCATCTAATATAGTCAACATTCAGCTGTTAAAGGGGCTCAGCTTTACAGGCACACATTTCTCATTTTCTAAAACCCCCTCACATAGCTCCAACTTAATTCTTTCCTTTTCTGGTTTTGTCAAGTGTTCCTTTAGCATATGGAATTACTTTAGGTACAGCTGGGCAGCTGCATCCTGAAGCCATTGCAGTCCTCACAACGCAGTCTTGGTGATATAAGGCGACTGCTTTAATTCCCTGCCTGCCATTTGTTGACTCTAGTTAGGCCAGGATAGTCACTGCTTCTCTCGCAGAGACTTAAGGCGCAGGCTGGGGACAGAGATGTCACTGGCTGCACCCCTCTGGTAGGCTGCAGCCCCTGCCAGGATGCACTGAGTAGAACAGAAACTGGATTTCAGCTCACACTTACCCTTCATGTGGGGTGTGACATGTCCAACTCTGCATGATAGCCCTGATTTATGGGGAAAAAAATCACAAAAAGTTTATCCCACTTTTGGAAATCCTGGAATTGGCCTCAGCGCAGAGTTGGCCCTCCTATTTAAAAAGACAACATTCTAGCTAGGTGATGGGCCTCATTCATTTCACAAACACAATCCCCTGTGTGGATATGGACCAGATGGTGTGACCCACTTTGACCTGTTGGTGTCCTTCAGTCGTGCCACACCACAGATTGGTCCCAGATGTTAGGAACTATGATCAGACTCTCCTTGCCATGAAACTGAACTCAGAGATCTCAGTCAGCTGGTCCTGAAAGGGTGCGGCGTGCAGTTCCTTCCTGAGAGCGCCATCAGCCTGTAGGAAAAACTCGGTCTCCGCTGGCCGCGACACCTTCCACGCCCTTTGAGATGAGCTCTGTAGAGCCTCTGAGACTTGAGAGAAGGAAATAAGATCCAGGTGAAGCTTCACAATATTTTGATCAGTCAGTTTTGTTCTTCATTTTAAAGCAATGATCCAATTTGGTTAGATGAAATTAAAGATGCTTCAGGATATCTTAAAGCAGGAAATAGCTGTTTGTGTTTTCACATCAACTGTTTTCTGACTTTGCAAAAAGCAAGGTCATTCTTTGGGATGAAGAGTTCCAAAGGCTAAGTTCAAATTACAAAAAATCAAAACTAATAGTATGTCACACAAGAAGTAATAGACAACTTTCATATTAAAATGAGGCAGATCAAACATACTTCTGTAAGGATGCAGCTGAGCAGATGTCCCTTTAAGCCTGCCTTAAAGACACCCGTATTGACTGAGCTTTGGAAATCACTTCCCCACGTGGGCACACCTTGCAGGTAGATTGGCTCTGCCTTTGGTGCCCTGTCCTACCTGCTGCTTGGTGGAGTAGCCCAGGTCCTTCTCCGTCACCCTGGAGTCCCCCAGGACAGCATGGAGGCGCCAGCCGCCTCTCCCACTCCCTCAAGCTCACAGCTGTCAGAGCCACGTTGTTTTCAAATGAAGGGAGAACGAAGCGTCCTGGTGTGCAGAATTGCCTAAGTAAAGGTCTAATTTTTCTCTCTTCCTCTCAGAATGTTATTCCCTGAAGCTCAGCGCCTAGAAAGCACTGGAAAACTGTTACAGTTGGCAGATGTGGACCCTACCCTCCGACCCAGCCAGCTCTCTGTCTCCCATTTTAAGAGCCTCTGTGATGTGTACCGGAAAATGTGTGATGAAGACCCACACCTCTTCGCTTATAATTTCAGAGAAGAACTCAAGCAAAATAAAAGCAAAAACCAGGAAAAAGAGGATGAGGAGAGTTACAGACTCCAGCTCCCTCCTTAGGGGCTAGCAGCTTACTGAATGCTGATTTTCACAATGCTGAGCCTCTTATGTGTGTACTCTCTTGTCTTCTACAGAATGACAATAAAAATACCAATTACCAGATGTGACTTATTTCCCTTTTACTGTACAGTTTGGTAGAGAAAATAAATATAATCAAATAAGATACAGTACAAGCTTTCTTTTAATATATATACTGCATAGATATGACATGTTTAGTATAAACAGCATCTATTACAACCTTACAAAAATGAAGTATCTGCACAGTGTGCCCCTAACCCACATTAAAATAACTTAAAGATGCTTTAAATAAAGCAAAAACTAACAGCTCAAAGAAAATGCCCAGAGGATTGGAAAGAAATGATCTTTTTAAAAGCTATTAATCACAACTTCCCCACCTTGCTTTTTCCACATAAATTAAAATAATTAGAATGGAATTTTATTTTAAGGATTCTAAGTCATTTTGATACCTGCTCAAAAGGGATGTAAAACTAAGTAATTTACAAATTCTGACCAGTTTAATCTAGTTTTCTGATCCACAATAAATTAAAATAACTTAAATCTTTACAACTATTTTGTGGGAAAATGTATGCTGCACAAAACCCAATAATGAATGGTTTTTCTGCCATTTCCACTTTACCACCAGTTTAAAAGACAAATGAGCAATTTAACCCATATCTGGATTGAAATTGTACTATGATTTTCCGTGGCTCTCAGTTTCATAAAAACACTCCTCATTGACAACTGACGTGAGACTCTGGACGCTGAATTCTCGCTCTAGGACAGAATTGAGATCCAGGCTGGCATTTTCAGATTGACTGTCAAGGGACTGGTGACGAGTCTGCGTCTTCAGCAGAGTTCCCCTGTCCCTTTTGGTGCTGTTCGCTTTCCGTTTAATGGCACAGAAGTGCCCCCGGACCAGTCTGGGCTGCTCCCCTCCTGGCTGGCCATCCGTGCCAGGCTGCTGTCCGGGCGGCTGAGCATCGGGGCCGTCGGAGATTCTCAGTCTCTGGAACTGGATTTCAATGTCTTTGGTCGGGCTGCCTTGTTTCACAATCTGATGGTAGTCCTCATCTTCGTCACTCAGAATATCGCTCTCTTTGATGAGATGGTCTGAAAAATCGGCCAAGCCCGTGTGGGGGTGTTGCAGGGCGTCCTGCCTGCTCCCGGCTGTGTGGCAGCTGCTGCTCTGCGTGCTGCTGCTCAGGCTGCCCTCGTCGGAGTCCAGCGAGCTGCCCTTGCCGGGCTCGCTGGGCCACTCGCTGCTGGAGGAATTCTTGAGGACTTTTAAGGACCTGGAGGAAGCTGCAGGAGAAAAGCACATTTCCCCTCATCATAGAGAAACACACTCCACCGTGTGTAATTTTGGCAGGTTCTAAGATTTAACATCTTTGTTACTTAAGATTTTATCCTCTCACTTCAGTAACCAACTACCCTGGGACTTAGGCCAAAACATGTAGATACTGCAAGTATGGAGATTTTTTACTTGGTTTATTTGAAATTGTAAGTTGTAGTATTTGGCATTTTTAGATGACCAATTACCAGACCTCAGTTATTTGGACAGAACATTAAGCTAGAAACTACTATAAGGGCTAGAATACTTATTTTGCCCATGGATAAATTGAAAAGTTAATTACTAATAGAACCTAGGCTCTTTCACTAACGTACTTTGTAATTTGATAACCAGGATGGCACCCTATTTCTATGCCTACCTACTTACCTTCTTTATTTCCCTTGCTGCTCAATTGAAAGTAGAAAAATGCTGTTTCTCTCTCATGACAACTGTCTCTGCTGGAATTTCTAGCTAACTTTCAGAGATTTAATATGAGTTTAATCATTTGTGTGTGTATTTAATTCCTCTCTCTTGGGTGGAAGGGCAAAGGAGGAGCTTTGGGTTGTGGTGTTTCTGCAGACACAGTAATGTATTTTTAATGGTCATGGCTTATTTTGGCAATAGAGGGAAATAGTAAATTTGAAGAGGTCAAACTGTGACCAAAAAGGAAAGGGAGACATTTTGTAAGACTAAAAACAAGATCAGAGATCTATTAACAAAATAGTTAATACAGAAAGAAGGTTCTAAAAACTTAAGCTGAAATTTTAAAAACAGGCAGAAAGTTTAAGAACAGCAGGATTTGGAATGCTGACCCGCTGACTGACTTATTGGGTAAGAATGAGTGTATTAGGTCTCTTGATCTTAATTCATTAAGTAATGCCTTTCTAGATGCCCCATGCAGTTCTGAGCACTGGGAACACTGCAATGAGCAAACCAAGTCCCTGGACTCCTGTCCATCTCAGGGGAAGAAACAGGTAGGGTGGTAAGTGTCGACCGTGTCAGCTGGTGGTGAGAAGGGGCATTTGGGGTTGGGGGTGGTTATAGTTTATAAAAGGAGGTCCTGGAGCAAGAGGCACGTTTCCGTTTCCGTTTCCGTTTCCTAAATGGAAATAAAATGGCCCATTACCTTCTCACACCATCCTGTGAATTCGGGTGTCTGGTTCAGAGCTTACAAAGCCGCCCCTGATATTTACAAAGTGTTGGCTTACTGCTGTATCACCAGAGCATACGTCCTCGTAGAGAAGTGCCTAATGCTTTCCTGAATAAACATGAGACGAAGTTCTCACCTAATTTGGCTGAAACAGGAACTCGGTTCTTAAGGGGTACCAGGCGATCTTTACATGTTTTCTCCAAGGGTAATTCACACTTTATGTGACGTCTGAAGTTCTCCCTCAGAATAGATCGAATCACCTTGACGATGTTGGTTTTGCTTTCATTGTCACTGGTGGGGAGAGAGAGAGAAAACAGCAGGAGTGTCCCGAGTGTCATCATGCTTTGAGGCCACATCCCTGGTCCTTCTGTGGCATGTTACCGCCCTCAGGACAGACTGAGAGCAAGTCACCAGCGTCTGTGTGTCTTGGCCTCTACAGTTAGAAAAGGAGTGAGAATGGATCGTTCTTGAGGGTCCTTCCAGCACTAAGACTGGAGAGCTATTTGATCAATGTATTCTACTAGAGCCACCGTTGCCATTTTGGGGAGGGTGGGTGTGATCCTGAAGTCATCAAAATTCAGGAAATTACTAAAAATAAACTCCCTTTTTGTTAAGAGAACATAATTCTGTTTCGTTCCCATTGGCTTTAATTTTTGGGAATCCGTAATACCTGCAGCACAACTGGAAGATGGTTTCTGGCCGTCCTTCTATTTCTGACTTCGTATGGATCAGCTCCCATACAGAATTATTTTCTGTGCCTGTGAAAAAGGAAATGGGAACAAGCGTCTACAACTTTGCCAAAGACGCTGTGGTTAAGAACACTTGTGAAGTTTAAAACTCACGATTTAGTGACTTTAAAAACTCAAATATTCCCAATCCTGACTCACCATTTTCCTATGTGACTCATGCTGTGTGTGACTTTCACAAATAGTTACAAAAAGTTAAATCTTTGGCAGTTACTTTTTATCTTCCTGCTGAGGTTTTCCATCCATTTTAGTCCCGCCTCTGCCCAGATTCCATCTCTCTGGGAAAAAGGTTAAAGGGGTCCTGTTTTTCAACCCCATTCCTTGGAAGGAACACTAGGTTGTGCTCAGTCAGCTGCATGAGGTAAAGCCCCAAAAAGAGGCCAGCCCCAAATTCAGTCATGTTCTAGGAGACGCATGACAAAAATTAAACAGGGACCCACTGCACACGTCAGCCTGTCTGGCCTTCCCATCCAGAGAGGCCCTGTCACCAGAATGTGGTTACTCTGGAAGGACCTCCGAATGTTTTCCTGGGTCGAAGATTTTTTCTTGTTTTTGTATCACTTATGATACTGCTCAATCTTAAGGAATTTCTCGGTGTGTCTAAATTTGTAAAAATTTAAGTGTGTGTACCTTCCTTTCTGTAAAAATTTTTCGGGTATCAAGGATATTAGGCAGAAAGAAAAATGTTGGAAACTTGACAGTGAAAACAAGCAGACAATGAAGAGAACAGAACAACCATCTACTGGGGCTTACTGTCTCCAAAAGTCTGCAAAGAAACGTCAAAACAACCTCTCGTCCTCATTTGCCTATAAAATAAAGCACCAAAAGTTATCCCCAAAGTCCTTTCCTACTTTTTCATTCCGTAGTTTAAATAAGTCTCTTAAATTGTTTGTTTTTCTGGCATTGTGCTACACAGAACACTTACCTGCTGTATTCCCCAGTCTGACTTGAAGTGCGGATATGGGGATCAACCAGCGAAACTTAAATGGGTCCAGGTCAGCAGAGCTGTGTGCAGGCCGGGAATTCGAGGGCTGTAAGACAAAGGCCACCAAGAAGCGTTAGCGCCAGCTCACCAGGAGGGCGTGCACACAGCGTGGAAGCTTCCAGTTCCCCCGTGTGCAAGGCTCCTGCAGCCGTGTGGGTGTTCACGGGGCAGAAATGAACCGGGTCAGCTGTGCTCCCAGTTCTCAAGCAGCTCACAGACGGGGTGGGCACAGGGCAGAGTCGTGGTTTGGGGGCAGAGCTCTAAATTTCCAAGCAAGAATGACAACCAACCCTTCCGGGTCCGCACATTACCACTGAGTGGTGAGCTGACGGCGATGGTATTTACAGCTAAGCTTTTTCTTTTTTTGAATCAAGGGAAAAGGTGTTTGAAAACAAACCAAAGTTACACAGACTCTTATGTTTATGGAGCAAACATGGGCCGTGTTTTCAGGGATATAAAAGCTGATTTTCTGTGTAGGCCCCAGCGTGGGTATCTGTCTATATCTTCTTTTAAAGCAGACATCTTTTGTGGGGAGAATAAGGAACCTTGAGTATGTGATTTGGGGAGTTACCTAGGAACACGTGGTGCCCTCAGTGAGCTCTGCTGCTCAGCAGCCTGTCATTCAACACTAACAGGAAGACAGCCACGCAAAGGTGGCTTTCATTAAAATGAATTCTTGTCTTACCAATTTCTTTTTCAGTTTGCAGTTTTCTTTATAAACCAGTATGACGGCTCGCTTAAAAACTAAAGAAAGGAAAAGAGAAAGAAGTCTGTCATTATTTTGTACAAACTCTTCCAAGGTTAAACCAGAGCTGAATGTTGGACTAGAACAAAGCTCTTCAGACTTAGGAGGCTCCAGGATCCCACTCGGCCAGCACCCGAGTGAGTGAACGGTACTTGCTTCTGTTCATATTTGAATTATGCAGAAGTACCTGCTTATTTAAAAGCTATTATCTGAAGTCTATCTTCATGAAGGCATGCTTTTAAAATTCCTGTTTTGTTTTATTGAAAGCTGAGGACAGGGCGTTCGCCTAAGTGAGAAGACACTGTCTATACTCACTCTCGGGGCTCTCTGAGAATTACGACATTTTAATTAGTTCTCAGTGAGAATTAAGACAGTTGGAGATGCAGCAAACTATTAAGATAGCAGGTTTCAAAATAGCTCCGGGAGGTCTGTTCCTGTAACACTTGGTAAGAATCACCAAGCCAAGCAGCAGAAGGGAGAAGCAGGTAGTGAACATGCAGAGCAGCCGAGTTTTAAATAGTTGAAGGCTGGCTGTGTAAGTGAAAAGCCATGACAGCAAGGATTCTGACTCCTGGAAATCAGGAGTCAGCTGCACTGGTGGTTTTGGTACGTTCTTCATTATTTTCAGCCTCTTTTACGTTTACGTTCTTTGGAATACGAACCAAATACTGTGAGCTCAAGGTCCTTTCTGGCTTTTCCTAGAGACAGAAACGGATTCAACCAGGAAACTGTAGAGTGCATCAGAAGTTCGCCCATTGAAAGTTCTGTCACCTGTGTCGTAAAAACAGGAGATGAAGAAGATGTGGAAACCCCAGGGTAGGCCGTCTCAAGTTAGAGAGTGAATCACGTATCATTGCTAAAACGCAAGGATATTTCAGTTGGATTTTTATGGTCCCTGTGAACATGGGGCCTTCAGTAGTGGAGGTTTTAAAATATGGGCCAAGCATCGAACTGTTTGAAAAATAATATGACGTGAAGGCATTTTGCTTCCATGTACACGTTACTTGGGGGTGAGACGCGCCTCATGACCTCCTCCGTAGCATTAATTCCACCACAATGTCAAGTTCATCCAAAGTGCCTTTGTTAACGTTTCCCCAGGATCTAGTGCACGTACCACCTCAAATCTCTAAACTACACTAGGCCTGCTAATCAGAAAAGTACCAATGTTGAAACGACCGTTATAAAAAGTTAAATTCCAGTTGTCTTCTGTTCTTGCCTTTTTCTACTTAAACTTTATTCCTTCTTGCAGGTAGACTTTACAAGCTCAAGATTCTAAATTTAGTAATCAGCCAGAAAAGAAAAATATAGAAGTTGTCAAATTCCACTTAAACTACTTTCATAAGTAAGGAGATAGCCATCAATATTTGATGTTAAAAAAGAAAAGAGGAAGAGTCCTAGATTTTCTCCATGTGCTGGCTCCCACTTCCTTTACCCTTCCCACCCTCCGCCAGGCCGAGCTCTCCATACAGGTTCCAGCCTCTGCGATTTGTCCTAACCTCGTGCCCCACAGGAAGGAGGGAGAGGCAGGGACATGAGCTCAGCGAAATTCCTTGTTTTCTTTTGTACAATGCTAACAGGGCATGAGGCTGTAGTTTTAAACTAATGTAAGGAATTTTATGTTATGTGTGGCTTATTATAAGCATTAAGATCAAAAAGAAAATTTTAGGCATCTTCTCCTCCAGGAAAGCCCCAGTGGGTGGTATAGTCTGGAGGTCACTTAACAGACCCTGTGAACACATGCATTAAGCCTCCAGAATCCAGAAGTCCTGCTGACCTCCTTCTCTGCCCCACTTTGCTCTGCTACGAGCTGGTCAAACACGGTCCCATAGTCCTCGTATAGCTTCTGCATCTCATTGATGTGGCTCGCTACCTTCTCCATTGCCTTCAGTGCCTCTGCAAAATATGAAACCATATTTATCTGATAATGTTTGTTCGTTTGAAGTGTATCCAACAGCAGTCAGGAAAAAGCTCAAGATTCAAGCCAGGTTTTGAGACTAGTTCTTACTAACAGCAGCCTTGTTCAGGTACAGCTCAAACAGCCCGCTGTAATCTAGTCATTACAGTGAAGCACAGTAGGGGTACCTTCCTCCTCAAATTCTCTTTGAATTGAGGCCAAGCACAAGTCAAAAGTATCACTAATAATAGCCGCTGACATTCAGGGAGCACTTTCTCTCCGGCGGGGGCTGTGACGGGTGACCTAAGTGAATCATCTCATTTAATCCCCACAAACTCGAGAACTGTAGGAACTGTGATCATCAGGCCCATTTTACACACGAGAAAACTGAAGTGCAGAGGGGTTAAGTGTTTGGCCAAACTTCCAAAGACAGCAATAAAGAGTGGAGCCGGAATTCAAACCCAACGCTGACCGGCCACAGGATACCTGCTCTTAAATTTTGCTTCTCCTGGACGAGTTACGGGAATTGTGATCTGTAATAATTTTTTTACAAGAACTTACAAAGGTGTCTGTAAATGCCTGATTCCAGAGCAATTGTTGCATTTTTTTGCATAGAGTTTATAACTTTCTACACGGCCATGTAAGGGACAAAATGATTTCGTCAAAGTCGAAGAGCAAAATTTCAGGTCACTTCCAAATTCACTGTTTTTCATCCTTTGTTCTTCTGATTCAGTGTTTTAGTTCGGTCTGGAGGGAGTTTGGGAAGGCAGTTTTTTAACAGACCCCTTTTAAAGATCATCTTAATGCAAAATGCACTGTTCAGCCAGTATCTGAATACTAATCATAATTTGTATCATTTACTTACAGAATTGAACTTTCAAAGAAAATTTTGTTCTTCTTACTTATCATACAAAAGCATGCTTGTCACGGAAAAAGAACTAGTTTAATTTACACTCTTCTCAGTGTTTGTTATTCAGCAACACTGATATTTATTAGTAAGTTTGTTTCTTTCTCCATGTGCTTTATTACACGTAGCTAACGGGACCTCCTAGTTCTGACATGTGGGGAGAACAAACCACTGTTTCTGTAATTCAAATACAGCATCTCTTTAAGGGATACCCTATTTACTATCAAACCGAGGGGCTTTGTGCATTTGAGAAATTGTATCTTGGGCAATAATTTCTGAGGTTACAAAAGACCCATCAGCGTCAGCTTTAAAGCATAGTCTGTCACTGGGAGTTTGGTTTCGGAGTCGGGCTCTGCTCAGACGTCCACAAGGTGGAGCCTCACCCAACATGTTTGATCAGCGGCACTCGGGCACAAACACAAAACTTCACAAAGTCCTGGAAAAACAGGCCTGATTTTTGTTTCTGGCAGGACTGTTTGCTAACCAAGTGACCTGAAGTCATTTATTTCAACCACGGAACTTAAATTACCTTCTTTTAAAAATGAAAATGGAATCATCCCTCCAGAGGGGCTTGGGGCTACTCCAGTGAGAGAATTGTTGCCCATCCAAAGGGATGGCCATATATCTAGCTATTTTCACAGATAAAAATTATATCTAAGATTAACAACTGTGGTACTGAGGAATGTTTCAGAAGATGACTAAGGAGGGAAGAGGGGAACTGTAGGCCCGGGGGGGCAGCAGTGACAGTACAACTCGCGCCCCTTCATTCTCACCTGTCAGGTGGTAGTGCTCCTCGCTCTCGTGGTCCGTGAGGGACACCAGCTCCTTGAGCAGCAGCGGGTACTTGAGCACCCTCTGGACCGGCTTGATGAGGAAGGACTCCAGCGTGGAGGAGTGCTGCTTGGTGGGATTCCGGGCATCCAGAAAAGCCTTGAAGGCTTTATCAGTTTTAGCTACAAACAGATGGATGAGACCCTTAGAAGAGCAGAGCAGGACGAATTAAAGTCTGCGTCACTGAGCTTCTGATGGAGTTAGAGACCATCCATTTGCATAGTCCTCCTAATGCCATCCTTTAATAAAAACCCAAATGCACCAGCAGGTCAAAGACCCAGCTATCAGTGTGGATCCAGCATCACAGCTCTGTGACAAATCCCGCAAGCAAAGGGAGCTTACTAGGCTGCCAGAACAATACTGTCCACACAGCAAAGAGGAACACCGGGTTGAGACGTAGGAATGTCTGACTTCAAAGGCACATTCACACGCAGACCCATGAGAGATTGTTATAGGTGCCTAGAATTGAGTTTCAAATGGTTCATAAAGCCACAGAACAGTGTTATCCAGATGCTACAAGCCCCCCAAAGATTCATGTAGCAAAAGAACCCAGTAGTTTTTTCCACTATCTCAGCACAAATTGTCACTTGTATTCTATACACTTAAGGGCTATTTGTAAAGCAATATCTTTTTTTCCTGTAAAATAAATTGATAAGCACTGTAGCCTTCACCTCCACAGCTCCAAGCGGTCTGAACCTTCCACCAGAGGTGACATCCAGACCCCTCCGGGCAGTGAAAACGCCCTCTCTGTTCAGTGTCTGAGGGCCACGAAGGGTGCACACAGGAGCTGAGTGAGTCTAGTTTGGGGCACGCCAGTGGATGCCCCAGCCACTGCCTTGGACGCCACCTGCCAGCACAGGTTGACCAGCTGTTTGGAATTCAGTCAATCTGAATCAAGATAGTCCTTTATTTGGGGTCTTGTTACACAGGCAAAAACCTACAACTTGTAGGAGATGCAGGACCATTTTGAAAGTGACTACCAGACAAAGTGGATGGTGAGATGATCCTTCATCTGTATGACAAAGAAGGAACTGAGCAAACCATTGGTCTGCTTTTATTTCACTGTGTACTGTCAATAAGAAGGCGTTCCTGGGAGGAAATGATGATGGAATCCGACCTCTGTTTCAAGAACTAGAGAAGACAGATTTGGGCTGGGTCTGGTTAACTCTGAAGGACTCCAAGACTCTATGTTTTAAACTTGAGCTTGTTCTTCTAGGATACTGTGAAATTCTGGATTTAAACCAAATGGCAGAACCGCATCAGCGGAACTGGTTAAACACCATCAGTGTTGGGGTAAACCTCTCTGTACCCTCCACAATAGCAGGTAGACACTGTTCCCAGGTTTTGAGAAAGAAACACTGAAGAGCACACACTGGATCCTTTTCGACAATGCCATTAGGAAGCATTTGAGGACAGACAGAAGAAGGGGCTTGGAATTTAGCTTTACTGCTGCTACCCTCTTGACCCAACCAAAAACGTTCAAACAGAGAAACCTCCCTCCTCAGACATTTGCCCTTGTCATGGAAGAGAGCCCTGATCACTGGCTTCTACAGAGGTGGCAAATCACAATGGGAGTGAATCTCATGGAGGCCATCCTTAACTCTGAAGAAGGCATTCAAGTCCTGGGGGAAGTCTTCTTATCCTGGAGATTACCACAGCTCAAGCTTCAGTGGGTTTGTATCTTATTTCCAAGTACACTTGAGAGAATACAGTGACCTTTCCTGGAGACAGGTCCAATGAACTTCAATAGGATTACATATGTTTTCATAAGACGCCTGCCACTGTGGGAGCCGCGCAGAAGAGGACAGACTCCTGAGGACCTGTATCTGTTTCATATTCTCCGTGCAGACTGAATTCCTGCTGCTCACAACCTTGAATGTAAAAGCCTGTATCTCTGATTTTTCCTCCTCTTGTCTCTGCCACCAGAAATGAGGATTCCAAAGAATGGGAGAGAAAAATGTCTTCTGAGACAGACAGACTTGAGAATTCTAATCTCCTCCCTAGAGAGGCGTGTGGTGACTAGAAGAAGCCTTCAGTAGCACAACAGGCTCAGTGAGGTACCCTGCTTTCAGGTATCACAGGAAGCGACTGCACAGCAGGTTGATGATACAGTGATGGCGACTGCAGCAAAAAACCCGCCAATACTCCTAGCCCTGAAGGTCACTGCTGTCATCAAATCCTGCAACACACGTCCCAGGCAGGGCTGACTGCCTGGCCCGTTACTGAAAGCCCACGTGGATCAGTGTTCCGGCCGTCAGCTCACAGGCTGACTCATGGCAAGTCAGTGGCCAAAGCTAAGCATCTCTCAATTCCCCAGAGTAACACTTGCCGTAGGCGCAAGGGAGGGGAGGGGCCACACGGGCGGATCACTCAGGTCCACTTGGACTTCAAAGAAATAAGTCTTCAGTTAAAGCCAATAAAATAACATAAGATCATAAAAATGTGGAGAGACAAAAGGTACTTCAAGTGAAAGGATATGGGTTGTGATAAATGTTAGTTTTTTCCAGGTTTCACCAAAGAGGCTTTAACTTTAGTTAACACACTTCTGGTGAGTTTGGTGGTGGGTTTTTTGCCGTGGTTCCTCAGGCTTAAGAAGAAGGTTAACAAGAAAGAAAGAAAACAGGACCTGTTTCTTTCTACCCCCATCCAGGGGCTCATGGTTACAAGTTTTTAGATCAAGGAATTTGGCAAAAAAGAAGCCAGATGTACTTTAACAGCAAAACGACATGTGGCAAGGCAACATTTCTGCTCTCAGCACACACGTTGACTGTTACCAATAAATTGAAATAAACTGAAAACTTTCCTTTTAATGTCTGTCAACTTCAAGGTCACCAATGGAGCATAATTGATTAAAATGACACTTATCCCTACTTATTAAATACAAATTTACTCTCTGTTAACAATTAAAATACAAGAGCACAGCTATAAAAGGTGTGAGCAACTTACCTCGCTCTAGAACCTTCTGTACTTTAATATGATTAGCGCAGAATCCGCTGTACAGTTTAAAGTGGTCCGCGTAATAAAGGAAAGAGCCTCCAAGGGAAAACAGTAGTTTCTAGAAGGGGAGGGGAAAGTCACATCAGGCATGGTTTAATCAAATTGTCCGCGGGCTCTGGCATGGCGTCTGACTGCGCTGGTGTCTCCATGGCATTTGTCTTTCAGATACTGGAGCACTAATGCCTCCAGGAAGTCACCAAATGACCTAAGCCAGGACTGCCCCATTTGCCCAGCGGATGGAGAACAGCCCGGGCATTCCCCTAACCGACCTTCAGCTTGACGAAAAAGTTTCTGACAGCAGAACCTCTTGTCAGGGTGTGCAATCAAGGACAAGAAAGAAAGTTCTATAAAATTACAGCTGACATAGTGGGATATAAATGATCCAAGAGGCTAATTAATAAAGCCGACTCTGCATTACTTGGGACCAATGATGCTCTCTGTGCACTTCCTTGGTGCCTTTTTGCTACCTTCTGCTTCTCCTTCCCTGGAGGGCATCCTGCCAGTCACAGATGCTCACACTGGAGATGGGGCTTCATAGAAGAGCACGCTCTCCCAGAACAATTTAAAACCTATGCTTTCATCCTAGCATCACATGACCATGGAGACAAGAAAACAGATGCAGTAGGTGCTCTTGCGTCAGAAGCAACTGCCCTACAGATCCTACAGTAGAGCTGAGTAAAGACCACAGATGTTGTCAACAACCAGGCCCACCCCACAGAAGTGCTGCCCAGATCTCTGATTACCAGAGGCGTTTACTCTAGGATAAAAATGTCGCCGCCTTTTACCACCTGCCAGAGGAAAACAGTGCGAGGAAAGCACTAAATTTGTCTTTTCAATAGTTGAGGACAAGGGATTCTTTTGCAAGGGAGAATTCTGCACTGTACCCATGTATGTTTTCTTTAAACCTGAAGTCTAAAATACTTACTCTAAACTGCGAGGGGGTTTCAAGCAGGTTAAAGTCAGATGCTGCTGAAATCCCGTCCTCCAGGGTCTCCAGAAACACCTTCTGAAATTCCAGCATCTCTGGCAGACTTCCAAAGAGTGACTCCATCTACGTGAAGAGCAGGATTTGAGAAGAGGGTATGAGTGATGAAAATCTAGATACCGCTCCAATGCTCAGCTGCACAAATAAAGCACAAGTCGTTCACCGAGAAGGAGAAAAGTAAATCTTAAGATAGTATATTCCTGATGGGATATAACTGAGACGCAGAGAGTTTTACAACTCCGGTCCCTATACACTAATTCTAAAAGTAACTTTTTACGTGGATATAAAAGTTTTAGAATTCAAATTGGGGAAAAATTGAAGTCAGTAGAAAAGAAGTATTGTGATTTAACATTAAAAAGTTACGTATTAAAAAGTAATTTTCGGTCACAACTTCTACTACAAAAATGTCCTTCTGCAAATATAGAGATGGCCAATAGGCACATAAAAAGATGCTCAACAGCACTAATCATCAGGGAAATGCAAATCAAAAATACACTAAGATATCACCTTACACCCATTAGAATGGCTAAAATAACCAAGACAAAAAAATAACAAATGTTAGAGAGGATGTGGAGAAAAGGGACCCCTCATACACTGCTGTTGGGAATGCAAACTGGTGCAGCCACTATGGAAAACAATATGGAGATTTCTCAAAAAACTAAAAATAGAAATGCCATAGGACCCAGCTATCCCACTACTGGATGTCTATCCAAAGAACCTGAAATCAACAACTGAAAGAGACTTATGCACCCCTCTGTTCATTGCAGCATAATTCACAATAGCCAAGACACAGAAGCAACCCAAGTGCCCTTCTATGGATGAATGGATAAAGAAGATGTGGTATATATATATACAACAGAATACTACTCAGCCTTAAAAAATGACAAAATCGTCCCATTCACAACAACATGGATGGACCTTGAGGGTATTATGTTAAGCAAAATAAGCCAGACAGAGAAAGACAAACACAGTATGATTTCACTCATATGTGGAAGATAAACACATGGACAAAAAGAACTATTTAGTGGTTACCAGGGGGAAGAGGGTTGGGGATGGGCACAAAGGGTGAAGGGGCGGACTTATAAGATGACTGACAAATAATAATGTACAACTGAAATTTCACAATGTTGTAAACTCTCATAACCTCAATAAAAAAAGAAAGTGTCCTTCTGCATTTGTACACTCCCGCCACCATACTACATGCAGCAGAGGACACATAAATGGCTTTGAAGGAGGCCACGCTTGTGTCTCTCTGAAGATCCTGAAGTCTTGGATGTTCTTTTGGGATCAGTAGATATAATATCCTGGGAAGTTCACTAAAGAGCAAACAGAGACTAACCTATGGATCGATGGACTGAGGGCAGGTAATGACTTACCTCATCTTGGGTCAGAAAGGTCTCATTTTGAAGCGGCTCCAAGTATAAGTCAAAGAGGCAACTCAGGTCCTGAAAGATGAAAGAAGAGTCTTTAACACTTAAGTCTCCAAAATAGCCAAGAGTTTCCAGCAGCCCTGGCCGCGGCTCCAGACTCCCATTAGGAATGATGACGTTTATGTCTCGTTTAAATTCTTGACCCTAAGAGTGGTTGTTATTATTATTATTATTATTGCTCACCTAATTCAAAGAGTTTAATACCACAATACATTCAGCAACTGGAATCCACAATTTTCTTTATAGCTTGATCACCTACTCTGCTTAATGAAATATCTTGTTGGCAGAACCAGGATCTTTCTTTTGACGACTACGGCAGGACCACTCATTGCCCTGCAGAGAAGGCGAGTTCTGGCTAGGCACTTCTGTCAGGTGTGACCACATCTGGCTGATGGGCTTCCTCCTCTGCATCAGGGACCAAGGTGACAGCTCCAATGTGGAGCTGAGAGGGACAGGACAAGATCTGGGGAGCTCTTCAACTTTGGTGTTGACGCCTTAGCAGAAAGTCAAACTCCCATATTCAAATACAAGAAAAAAATTCCAAAGATCAGCAGTCATGATGTTTACAATCTAGGCCATATTTGAGTCTCCAGTAAACTGGGCTCCAGCGGGACAGAATAGTGGGAGTTGCCTGTATTTACAGAACTCTCTAGATAAAGGTTTGTGTTTTTTTAAATTTAATAATTTGAAGCCAAGACCAGGATACAATTTAGCAATGGAAAAGATTCCTTTTTCTTGTTTCATTTATTCTGAAGAATTTTGAGTCCCCAAACACTTTGTAGTTGACTACAAAGTCAAATTCTTTGCCTCCCTCATTTTACAGTGGAGAAATCTAGACCTAGACAGCTCTGCGAAGCCCGAAGCCTCCAGAACCTTAGGCACAGGTCCTGTGATGCAGGGAAACAGCCTGTGATGCCTTTTATTGTTTCACGATAAAAACCTGCCTGGCCTTCCCACCCTCACCATATTCCACAGTGGCTGCTTTGGAGCAGAGAGATGTAAGCAGTCACTGAACCATAGCTCAGGGAACACACAAATGTTGAAAATCCCAAGTCGCATGCAGAGATCCAGGTTAGATGAAAGAATAATGAGTAAAATTCCATGTTAAATGTCAGCAACAAAAAGAAATTAAAACAATAAAAATGGCGTGTGTGTGTGAATCACAGTAGGCACCAGGTGCTGGTGATTTTGTCAGAGACCGTGGCGGGCTGCCGTCCTCACGCCAGCTGAGGCTGCTCAGGAGGACTCACACACCGAGAGAGGTCCGTGCTGAGCCGTGTGTGCCCGAGGGCGGCGACATTTGGGGCCCTCAGAAAACAAAGCGCAGGTTTCTTGCAGAGAGAAGGCAGAGCTGGTCCTTTTTGTCCGCTTCACCCATCACATCCATCTCAGTGCTCTGCCAGCATCACGGTGAAATGACCCCTTGGTCAAAGTGGTTCAACAGTAAAACAGAACAACCATAAAAAGGGGCTTGGATTCTGCTCTTAGGCGCACAGGGCTGTTTGGGAAAGGCCCCCTGTGGCTCACAGGATGACTCAGACATCTAGTCTGAATTCCTGGGATGGGCACTTCATCTCCCCCACATTAGATGCAGGACAAGAGGTAATGGGAAATGACATGAAATGGTCATCTCTACAGCTTTGTCTTGTGGAGAAAGGTGATAGCCGTGTGTGTGTGTGTGTGTGCCCATGTGTTTGTATGCACACAAAAGCACACGCCAAGACTTAATTCTTGGACTTGGCGTGTCACAGCTGGAACAAGGGCACACCCATCTCAGACCCCAGGTGAGGGAGTTGGAAGGGACTAACTGGGGGCTTCTGAGACAAATAACTGACTTCTTTCGGTACTCGAAGAAGATGCTCGGCAACTCCCCGTATGTGATGGTGTGGGGACACCCGTGTGATGACCAGCACATCCACCGTGGGGCTCTGTCCTGCACAGGGACCACCATGAGGCAGGGCCGGGCCTGGTGACCACCTGCACTCTGAGGGCCAGAGCCACAGGCACTGTGAACAAATTGTTCCCTTGTTCCTCATCACCTAAGGTGACCTCCATCCCCTTCTTACTAAACCAGTACAGACTCCCTTCCCACAGAATCCAAGGGACAAATTAGAACATCTGTTTCCACAGTGAAAGCTGCCTTGGTAACAAAAGAAGCCGAGAATCGAATTTTTCCGAATCGTCTCAGCTTTTCCACCCTCCTGCCCTCTCCTGCAGCAACTCATCACTTCAAGGAGCAGGCGTCTCCCTCCTGAGTGGTGGGGTCCCAGGCAGCTGTGATCTGGAGACCCCTCCCAGCATGTGACTGGCCATGGAAGGAAGAGCGAGCGGGCAAGAAGGATCAGCGTCTTCCATTACCTTCACATAGGACTTCTCCGTGTCCACGAGCTCCTGGATGACTTTTCGGAGGCGATCTGCATCAGAGAGGTGGCGGGCCAGCGGCCTCGGAGTGGCCTCCTCACCCTCTCTTGGTCCTTCCATGCTGTCAGTCTGGGTGTCGTTAAAACTCCTACACAGCACAGGGATCTGTTCAGCACTCTGAAAGACGACAAGAGGTGGAAAAGAATGTACAGGACACTCTCCATGATGATCAGCCGCCCACCAAGGACACAAACAGTGTCTCTCTCTGCCCAGCACTCCTTCGGGAATCTCACAGCAGCCTACACCTAGGGCCCACGGTGTCCTCCATCTCAAACCACTCTGGCTCTCCTTTAAGATCCCAGTGGGGAAGCTATGAGCCTACACTCATTCAGTACTTACACAGGATGCTTCTTCCCTGTCATAACAGCTATTTGATGATGATGCTTTAGCACCAAAACTAGAGAACAAGGCACAGGGCTGACCCTCTGCAGTAAAGGTGAGGTTGCTCTAAAATCAAGGGTATGGCTGGCTAAGATCACAAGGAGAGGCAGCCTCACGTGGTCCACTCTGTCCCCTCCACGGCTGGCCTAATACGGCGCAGTCTCCCATACAAAACAGTCCTGGGAGATCCGGAACGTGCGGCACCATAGCAATTTTAGGATGGCTTGGCCATAATGGGCTTGGCGTTCTGCCCCCAAGTCCAACCCTTTAGCTCTGCTGTTTCGCACCAGACAGCAGAGTTATGAGTGAAAAAGTTTGATCTGCTGCATGTGCTAGGACTGGGAGTAGAGATAGAGATGTATAGGAAAGATAAGGTCCTCCCCTCCTCTCCTCATGCCGCAGGGGACAGAGCCCGGGAAGGGCACAGATAGGAGCGGATGACACAGCAAAGCCTGGTGAATGCTAGAGGAGAGGGAGGAACTGGCTCTGTGGGGAAGCTTCATGAAGGAGGGGAGCCTTGAGCTGGTTCTCAGCAGTAAGTACCATGTGCCAGACCCAGGGAGCGTCAGGGGAGAGAGAAGACTTCTTCCAGGGAACAGAATTACACACATTAAGAGACAAGAAGGAGCAGGACCTCTCAGGGAACTCACAACATTGGGCACAAGCTCTCACTGAGATTTAAGCACAGTGGGATAAAGCCTTCTCAAGGGGAACCCATCGTGTGCTCCTGCCTTAGGCTCGTGTGTTAAAGTCTGCTCCTATATCCACAGCGCCTGGAGCATCCTCAGATGACATTCAAAGGATCTTTTTACTTATCTTTCTTTCCCTTCCACCCACATGCAAGCTGCGGCCCACCTCACCACTCACCACCTACCAGTCTGTAAGCCTGTCAAGGGCAGAGCCCTGCCTTTCTTTGTCACTGCCCACAAGTGCCCGGCTCCCTGGCTGGCGCACATGAAGTGTTCACTTCACCTCTGTTGCACTGAAATTGTTATTGAATCACAAAGCAGCTTAGTCCCAATGCAAATGACTAATATCCATCCATCTCTGGTAACTTTCTGCCTCTCAACTAAAACTCCCCTCTCTTCAGTTTAAACGCCCTCACTCTGTCTGGGGTAAGAAGCTCAACTTGTCAGAAGCATCTCCTAATTCTCAGTTTGTTTTCTTTGCTTGGCTATTTGAGAACACTAACAACTTACACAAGCGTGTCGGTCAAACTCAGTGCCTTGATGCATACATTTTATAAAAGCTGTCACCTGACAAATTTAGGTGCCTCAAAGTAGAAACAGGACCCTGTTGCCCTCCCTACCTCCCCCCCCAACACAGTCTTCATATGATGGAAATACACAATCAACATTGACCTTCAGGCAGTGACCTTCTGGCTAGTTTTTCAATCCAATTCCATGGGAACCAATTAAGAGCTTGCTCGGTCTCCAAAGAAACAGAAACCAGCTCCTGCACAAGGAGATAAGACTTGCCAAGGTGAGAAACACCAAGGACAGCACAAGGCAGACTGGAGACCAATACAAGCTTATGCGGAACAAATGAAAAATGGAATATACATTAAACACATGGGAGCGTGGCTGTGGGAGGGGTGGTCTGGAAGGCTTCACTGAAGAAGGGAGTTGTAACGTGGTCCTGGAAGGAGTGTGTTCCAAGGGGGAACCAGAGAAGGAGCTGAACGTGAGGAGAAAAACGAGCCCAGTAACTTAAAGAGCTCAACTTGGCAGGAGGCAGTTATGAAATTTATGAAATTGAGCGCTGCCCCCTCCATCTCCACCCCCCGCCCGGAGATGTCTGCAATGAGAATTCCCAGGCTGCGGGGCTCTTTAAATATTATTGCTTCTCTTTTATTTTGATGTTAATCTTGTTGCAAAAGTATGATCAACCATGTAACAGATACGACGCCTCCAACTAGACACATAGACACATATAATATAATTTACTTCTAGAAAAGCTCAAGGCAAGTGTAAGTACTAATGATTCTCCTTGGAGAGACCCTTTATTCACTTGTTTTTTTTAACTGTGAACATAAGCATATTTCTGGTAACGCCTGTCAGAAGATGTTCATTCTGGGTAAACTTTCAAAGACTAAGAAAGCGGATGTGGATCTTAAGGCACCAATCAGAAGGCAACTTGACCCATCAAAATGTCTCATATCATGTTTAAAACAACCAAATCTTATGATTCATTACTGAAGAAATGCCGAAGTCTTCAGTCATGCCCTAACAGCTTCATGACATATAGCAAAAGCCAGAATGGGCCGTGCAGCCACAGGGTGGCTCTCCCTCTCTTCCAGGATGTGAGCATCATAAAGGAGCACTAGGGAGTAGAGCCAAACTCCTCCCAATTCTTCCCATCCTCCTCCTCCTTTCCAGTGGACTTCAACCCTCGCCACACATTAGCTTTGTTGGGGGAGCTTTAAAAAATACCCATGTTTGAACCAACTGAATCAGAATCCCTGGCGCCCCAGGTATGGGTATTTTTTAAAAGCTTCCCAAGTGATGCTAACGTATGGTCCACGTGAGAAACTACTGGTCTACCTATCAGTAGAGTGAGCATCCTGCTTGGGTTTCCCAGGAGCGGCGCTGCCTCCAGCCAGATCACACTGTCCCCAGGGTCTGCACTGAAGGCCATATAAAAGGTGTGGACTGAGCCCACAAGACAGGAGGAAGTAGACGGAATTAAACCATGACCCCAGTATTCCAGGTCTGGCGCTCTCCTCATGGAGCTAAGCAGCCCGAGCTAGTAATACTCAAGACTCCAACACTCACTCACTTGAAATCCCTATCCTGGTATTTGCGCCACAAGCTCAGACAACAGAATTTTGCAATCCTGAAAAATAACAGTTTCCAGGGCTGTAGAATCTAAATTGGGTTCACATCTAGCGCATAAAATAAGAACTGACAAAATGCGCCATAAGTTAAATGGCAGCTGGTGAGATTACAGCTTTGCCTTGCTGGGATGTCGAAATCACACCTAACAATGCAGTGTTAATTTCAAAAATAAAGTATCCTGCCATTTTCGAAAATCAGAATTCATTTGAAGAACACTCCTGGTAGGACTAACTTGGAAAAGTGAATGTTGGCTGAGATTTTCAGAGCAAATGTACTTCTTAAGCTACCACAATGACACACTCAAGTGCTGCGGAGCCACCTTCCTCACACGTAACAGTTACGTGTTGTCCTGGGAAGGTCGTGAGGGTTGCTTGGGATCAAGAGTGGGAAGAGCCCCTGGAGGCAGAAGAGTAATTGTAAATGTGTCTTTAGATTGAATCTGAAAGAGTTGCTTGGTTGGTTATGTTTTAGTTTCTCCATTCTTAGTCATGGTTATAGACACTGAACTGTGAAAGGAAGAATTCTGGGTGTATCTGATAAGCTGTTTCTAAGAATAGTGATTATTTTGGTTGGGCTATTTTCACACGTCTATGTGGTGACGGAAGTGAAAAGTGCAGACAAGATTCTGAGGACCCGAGTTCCAGGCCCCAGTCCTCCATGCGATCCTGGGCAAGACTCTTTTCTGAGTCTTCAATTTCCTTACTGATAAAGAGAAGTAGGAGTGCCTCGCCCATCAAGTAACCCCTCAAATTGCCATTTGGATCAAGGGGAAAAGGGAACTTGCATCTCTTGAGCACCTGCTGTATGCAGACGCAGCTGGGAGGGGTTCTCACAGAATTTGTGGGCATTCACTCCTTCCTATATGACCCGCTGGGACCACAGATGAGGGTGGGGAGGCATCGGCAGGGCCTTGATGGCACAGGACCCACCTGCTCTCTAGCTCTCAGTGCAGAGTGCAGACCACACCCAGGCATCTGGCAGAGCACAGGCAAAACTGGCTTGCTCCTCCAGCCACCTCTGCCCACCACGAGGTCAAGGCTCGCCTGGCCCCAGGAGAATCCAGATGCACCCCAGCTGTGCTAGGAATACAACTTCTGGAGCCCATCTCTGCTTAGAGAGGCGAATGCGGCTCCCACACATCCAGAGACAACTATGACTTCTCCGTGGCTGATCCCGCTCCTTCTCGAGGAACCCTGCTTTAAAAGCACGACAGATGTTCACAAGTCAGGGCTGGGCACGTGTGAGGATTCAGCAGCCTGAGAGTGTGCGCTTGTGCAGAATCAGAAACACTGGCACTTGAAACATGTGCCTCAGATTGGTGTTTTCCAGGGTGTAGGAATCAATGCTATGGACCTGGGTTCATCATGGGTCCTGCCTTTTAAAAGAGAGCACAACGTAAATATTTTCTTTATGAACTCACTTAGAAAATCTAATGGAGACAGTATTCCCTAAAACTACCCTGTATGGAAAAGCAGTGGTATTGACCAAAACAATTTTTTTTCAGGATTTTAAGGTTAATTCTAAGGCTGATCCCTGCTTGAAAATGACTTGACCTTACTTATAGTTCAGGAACGTCTCACTCAGGATCTCTGAATTAAGTGACCCTTAAGTGTTGTCACCAAAAAAAAAGATAACTGTGTGAGGTGATGGGTGTGTTAATTCACTTGATTGTGGTCCTCATTTCACAGTGTATATGTACATCAAATCATCAAGTTGTAACACCTGAGATATATACTTTTTTTTTTTTTTTGGTGAGGAGGATTGTCCCTGAGCAAACATCTGTGCCCATCTTCCTCTATTTTCTATGTGGCACGCCAGCACAGCATGGCTTGATGAGCAGTGTGTAGGCCCACGCCTGGGATCCAAACTCGCCAATCCCAGGCCACGGAAGTGGAGCCT